GGTTAGGCTTGGTGATTTCCTGTGGATAACTCTATCATAGTATCGCTTAACAGCTTTCCCTCTTTTAGCATAACTTCTATAAATCATTGACATTCAGCGACTTTCGCTCAAACTCCTATGAGGTTTGTGCAGAATGTTTGCTTGACCCTCAGCAATCAAGAGTCTTCCTCCTAWCACATGTGAGCCTATACCCTCCTTGACGGAAATTGAAATAAAATACCGTACATTCCCTCCACATACTCAAAACGACTTGCATTCGCTTCGCMTGGAAATTCTCTATGACATGTTGATACTTAGATTCCTCCAGAGTATAGATTTAYAGSTTTCCCCTATCTTGGATGAGGTCTATAAATCATTGAACATTCAACGACCTTCAGTCAAACGGCTTCCAAGGGTTAGGGTTGGGGTGGGGTTTATGATGAGCTATGACAAACTCAATAGAAGTATCCCTTTACAGCTTTCCCCTATTATAGATAACGTCTATATATCAGTAAATAATGAACGGATTTCAATCAAACTGCTACGAGGAGTTGTCCTTAAGATAACCTTTATGATGAGCCATAAGTAACTAGATAGAAGTATGGGGTTACAGCTTTCCCCTGTTTTAGATAACGTCTATATCGCATTCAATATTCAACACCCCTGCACTCAAACTGCTACGAGGTGTTGTCCAGACTATGAACTTTATGATGAACTATGAATAACTCCATACATGTATCGGTGTACAGCTTTCCCCTGTTTTGAATAACGGCTTATCTCATTTATTATTCAACGGATATCAGTCAAACCTATACGAAGTAGTGGCCAGACTATAACCTTTATGATGAACTATGAGTAACGCAATAGAAGTATATCTTTACAGCTTTCCCCTGTTTTAGTTAACGTCTATATCTCAATCAACAATAAACAACTATCACTCAAACTGCCACGAGGTAATGCCCAGAACATAGGCGTTATGATGAACTATGAATAACAAAATAAAAGTATCCCTTTACAGCTTTCCCCTTTTTTAGATAACGTTTTGATTTCAGATTGGCAGTGTCAATTGGGTCTTGGAAGGTGAGAAATGGGGGTCCAAAGTCTTGGCGGGAACAAGTCGTGCAAGGGTGAACTCAGCCTTTCCGGTCGAAAGGTGTAAATTCTGAAAGCCCGAGTCCTGGCGACTCGGGGATGCACAACCCCGACGTCCCCATGGCATTTGGAAGGTGGGAAATGGGGGTGCAAAGTCTTGGCGGGAAAAAGTCGTGCACGGGTAAACTCCGCCTTTCTGTTCGAAAGGTGTAAATTCTGAAAGCCCGAGTCCAGTCGACTCGGGGCTCCACAACCCCGACGTCCCCAGGGCATTTGGAAGGTGAGAAATGGGGGTCAGCAGCAGTAAGGGGGACCCGCGGANGTATGTATGTATGTATAATATAGCTTACTGCTGATCATCATAATAAACTTTGATGATTGCTTAACTTTCAGCCGTGGCCAATATTCTACTATCCCAAAGGTGCTCCAAGATATTAGTAGGCGATCCTCATCAGCAGATCTACTCCTTTCGCGGAGCTGAAAACGCCATGGAGTCTGTCAAGAGTAGTCATACCTTTTACTTGACTCGGGTATAGATTCCCCACCTGTATATTCAACATATAAACCCAGTATTCATTATAGAAACCAAGAAATATAGTATCTGAACACACGTAAAAACACTATAATGTTACTTCTGTTATTATCAGCCCATCAGTTTTACTGCGCAAGAAATTTGTTGAACATGAATGTTTGATATTTGTTTATATAATAAACCGAACAATACATGGACAAACCGTATTTAAAAAATAAGAGAAAGTAACGCGAAGTTTCGTCGTCGATACGGCACTAATAGGGACTGAAAGATTTGCAAAATCTGCCATGGCGACGTCTAACGGAAGTGTAAATAACTTCATTTTAGGGTTTGGCGCCTTCAAAGTCTGTCTTCCTTGTGGATGAGTTGTCTTTACTGACAATGTCCTGAGTAAAATTTCCAATGAACAGAACCCCACGAGAGAAATTATTGGGGGACAGTGTGCTAATCTGTAATGTTTGGCAATGTTTAACGATATAGTGTTTGGCATATTAAAGTTTAAAATGGCCTTTACTCCTCCAACCTGAGAGACTACAATGGGTTAAGTGTTGTTTGTTAGTCTTTCAGGTTTGGTCCTGAGATAGCCTATGTTGCCAATTCTCTGCTTGAGGTACAGAAGGACTATCATGGCAAGACACTAATTGGTAATGGTAAACCAGGTGAGATTACTATTTCATGACTAATTTAAATGCAATAGACGACTTGCACTAACTGGTCACGTGACCCTAACTCCTTAAAACGAGCAGTTTTATCAAAATAAAAAAAAAACAAATGAAAAGAGCATCTCGGCATTAGTAGGGAGGCGGAGTTTTAGCTCATAATAAGCAAAACCGGAGAAATGGTTTTAGATATAAAATTGAATGTTTTATAAGGATTTGTATGGGAAAATGCACTAGATGGCAAAAGCTTACCAGCCAACACTTTACCCATACGAATCCCTGTAAAATATTTGATTCTATATTTAATTTAATTTCTTCTATAGTCAACATTTCGAGCTGAACCTTTGCCCTTTTACTAAATTTGAGGCGCTCTCTTCATTTCTGGAGCTCATTTTGACTCATTTATTCGTTTTAAGGGGATGGGGTCACGTGGCCTGTTARTGCAAGTCGTCTATTTTCTTTGTTGGTGAATTTCTTCTCTGTAAATATTTTTTTCTTGCTTTAAAAATTCTCAAAACTAAACTTGAAGACAGACATTCCAAATGTTCCATTTAGAGATTCCGTAAATTTCTTATAAAAGCTAGTAAACTCAGCAAAAAGTTTGAGATGTGATACAAGCGTCCATCTTGAATCAAGCTTAAGGAGGTTCATGGGCATCGTTCGCGCGCTTCCTTCTTACGCAATTGTGCGCGCGCTCATCGTGATGACGTCATTCCAATGTTTTGATAAGCACCCCTTTTTATTTCGTTTCTTGAAAGTACTCGATAATACCTAACTTTAGAGCACACATAAGTCTGACGATGGGATAAAACCACATTTCCATATTTTGTGTATAATCGGAATAGAATTTCACGTAACGCAAAGGCTTCAAGTCCACACTTATAGCACATTGACATTCTATAATTCTATTTTTTTAACACAAATTTCAAATGCTACCTAGTTATTTGGTTATTTTCAAGTCTTCTATGAAAAATAATGGGACCACTAATTTATTTATTTTGCAATAAAATATGACTTTTTTTTCGCAGCTTTCCATGTTTACGTTGTTCGCGCGTTTTAACTATAAAAAGGGTGAGCTTCCACGTATTCTGACGGCTAAACGAAGTCGGGACCCCCATATTTTATTTGCTTATTTGACTTCTAGTATGATGTTCTTTCATCGCTCAAATTTTTTTAAAAATCTGACTATGGGTTCTTTTGCCCATGAACGTCCTTAACATTCCAAATATAGTGTCAAAACTCCTGATTTTAATGTCTGACTATTCTGTAGCATAGTTATCGTGTTAAACGTTTCAATCCCTTTATGAGTTTGTGATTTCGATAGCACGGGTGATATTAAACTTTAACATTGACTTTAAGATAAACTAGGCTTATCTATATGGAAATATTGAAACAAAAGTTATTCTATGATTCACCGATCCGATTCGATCAAAACTGTTTTTTTCTAGAAAGTAAAAACATAGGATTGTTGCCCAAAACACTTGAATTTTAGATTAAAGATTACTTATTGAACCATCTTTGACCACATAAAAAATAGTTATTGCTGTTGTTTTTGGCCTTAAATTTAACGCAAGAGCCTCCCAAAGCCGACGTTTTCTGTACCTTTAGGTGTTTTGCTAAAGAAACCCGCGGGAATCTCTCGACATAGATGCGCAGTAAGTGTGCGCGCTGATAATTGTAGACACCAACCCTAAATTGTATTAAATTTTCTTATTTAGTAATGTTTTACTTCACGTATTCTTTGTCTTCTTTTTCGTTCTCCAGGTGGAATAATGGGAGATACTGTCGGTCAATTGGCTATTATTTGCAGAACGAATTTTGGAGTATTTTCTGAGGCATCGAGGTTATGTCACCATGGAAACAACCTCAAGGTTGCCTTTGCTGGGGTAGGTCGTCATTGTTGTTGTTGTTTTGTCATCTTTTATTATGACACCTTTGGAAAAACAAGTGGTTTAGCAACAACTATTGGTATATCTGGGTGCACTTGCCGATTTGGCAAACTAATTTTACGTGCACCTTACCCTAAGACAATAATTTAATGATTCTACTTTATTGATTTTTTCATTCGAGTGTTGCGTCTTTTATCATAGTTATAGAAGGTTTATAATTTTGAATGTGACGTCATACTCGTAATTGGGTGTGTTTATTTTTACCACTCGTAGCAAATTTACAATAACCATTGTACAAACCACGACTATGAAGATGCATATTTAATACTTTTTGCTTGTACAAGTGCAGATCGATAGTTGTGATAATTCCTAAAGATTTCCATGTTCCATTTTCTCAGTACTCGAATTACCAGAGTGCTTTGTCAGCTTTGATGCAAATTACCTATTGGTTGATCTTCTCCTGCTTTGTACTACTTCACCACCAACTCTCATCCTTTTATGTTAGGGCCTAGAAAGGTACAACTTGAACCGAGTTCTGGATATTTATCATCTCCACAGTGGTTATGGGCACGGTAAGAGTTTTAGTTTAATTTTTGTGAAAAAAATAGACGACTTACAGCTCACGTGACCCTACCCCACTTAAGACAAGCTGTCCAGAAACTGAAAGAGCACCTCGATATTGGTAAGAGGGCCAAGTAATAGCTAATAATGTTGAAATTAGGAGAAACCACATAAAATATATAATCTAATATTTTAACAGTGTTAGTTTTGAAAGAGTGTTGGATGGGAAGCTCTCGCCAGCCCGACCAATTTCCCATACAAATCCTTATAAATAATTCAATTTTATGTTTAATTAAAACATAAAATTTCTCGTGTTTCGCTTATTATGAACTGAAACTCCACCTACCTACTATTGTCGAGAAGTTATTTTCGTTCCTGATGTTTATCTCAACATAGCTGCTTGTTTTGAAAGGGGTTGGGTCACGTGACCTGTTAGTGCAACTCGTCCATTAGATAGAGAAACGCCGCTGCTCGTTTGTCCACTCGCTCGCGGACTCGTTCGTTTGCGACTTTATATAAAAAACGCGAGAATAAATACAATATCAGGCTCTTATGATAATAGAGAAATTTAGCATCAAGATGCAAACGTCAAAAGACGACGGCGCGTTCGCTTTTTTKTGTGTAGTAGTTAACGTAGTTGGCGTCCTGGACAGGACGTAAAAATGCTGCAAATTAAATGGCGTCCTGTTGAGCACGTCAACCTCTTGAGGACGGCGCGCGCACGAAAGAAATCTTTTAACATTCGCGTCTTGGTGCTAAATCACTCTATTGTCTATTGTATTTTCCCATTTCAGACCACGTGTCGCTCTCTTGAAAATAATATTCTCCATTTGAGTTGTATCCATATTCATGTGCCTCGTCATACTCAGATACTATTGGGAATGACATTATGCCCGAGCTAAAAAGGGTCTATTGTAAGAGAACCTACTTCTATTTACAGACTTGATTAAAGACCCGTTCATTAAAAGATTTAGAACATTTAAGGAGCTGTTGAAATTTGCGAGTGATGCAAACGATAAAGAACTCGGCGGTAAAATTAAGGTAATATTAATTTAAAATTAAGTATTTAACAGCCTGGGCCTGGTTGTAAGAAGGGTGAATAAGGATAAATCTTAKCCAGTGGATAATTATTTGATAACAGCATCGCTTTATCCACTGGATAAGAATTTATCTATCAGATAGCGCTATTTACCATTCGTACAACCAGGCTCTGGGCCCAGTTGCATAAAGCTCTTTTAATATAAAAAAGCTTTAAAACACTCGTAAGTATTGTCTGAGTACAATGGCCTATTGTTTTCGAACAATACTTACGGATGCTCTTATCTTTTAAGAGAGCTTTATGCAACCGGGCCCTGTACTTCCCGTCCCTGACCAGCGGTTGCTTCCCACCTTGGTTTCTTTATTCCCGTCCTATCAACAAGGTCTGCTCCCACTCATGATTACAGTTGGATCGGCAAGGATAGTGACGTATAGTATAGACACCAAACACAGAACTTACGGGTGGGGTGGGGGGGGGGGGGGGTGAACTGCAAAGCTTGCTTGGTTTATTGCTTGCCGTCAGAGTGTCACTGGTGACCGAAGGAGTTGTTTTTATACCCTATCCAATGAGAGAGATAGAGAGATCTCTTAAACCATTAACCAGGAGACTATGTCTTGCATGCATTATTTCGTAAACTATATATAAATTACTTTTGCATTTAGATTGTAGAGCATTTTGGCAGCAATGTCCCTATATACATTAAATCGATCAACAACAATGTGATTGAAGATGCGAGCCAGGCAGGTACGTATTCATACACAAATCATCAAAGTTTATGCTTTACTCGAACCTTCTAACAAAGCGGTTTATTTTGATACACCGAACATTGCTTATGAACAGGACACATCGCGTTGTATCGTATCAACCTGGACACCAGGAAAAAACGTTTGCGCATACGTGCACTTCAGCACGTTTTTAAGGAATTTAGAAGAGTTTGAGTGAGAAAGTAAATATTTGTTTTCTCCAAGTATACAAAAAATTTCGCCAGTATACTTTTGTTAGACCAAGATACTGTATTAACAAACACAATATGAAAGAATTTCCCTTAAGTTTCAAGCATGGACACTAAGTTTTGGCATTTTGTGAAGTCCAATTGATCAGGCATGTTAGAAAGTCAAATTTACATATGATTTGACTAATTTGCATAAGGATTCAGAGCATGCGCAGACGTTTTTCACTCGTGTCATCAACTTGCTCTTAACTGAAACTAGAGGTGACCTGAGTATGAGTTTCTATGATTTACTCTGATTGAAATATAAACCAATGATTGATCCCTTTTAGCACGTTGGAATGCAGCTCAATTTGAAGGACATTACAATGACATTAAAATTATTTTGTTTTGTTTTTTTATTTTTTATTTTGTCCTCAAATTGAGCTGGTTTGATGTCATATGTAAGGAGTCTATAAGACAAAATAAACAGATTGCCTTATTCGTACTTGTTTTCGCCTACCTTCATTATTGCGAATCGAAACAAATCGCGAAATTTTGGCCTCGCGATAAACATCCCGCTAAATGTACGCACACGAAAATTAATAGAAATTAGTTCTTTAAATGGCTTATTGATGGTTTTCATTTCCGCCATATTTGATGAATTTAACAAAAGATTCGTCATTAGTCTCTTTTGTTATATCATCCAACATAGCCGCCGAATATTTTGTTATTTTATTCTCTTGGGATAACCAATAGCCTCCATTCACGGTATGTAACTCTTACTGAGTCTACTAGCTATTTCACGGTCCGAGTGAAAATACTCAAACTGCTTGAATAAGAGTTGATAGAATGCATCTGAATTTTCGCTTTCTTTCTTCCTTCTTTGCTTAGATTATATAGTTTCTACTGCACACAAGGCAAAGGGGCTGCAGTTCAGTAGTGTGCGAGTACATGATGATTTTGCTCTTACTAATCCCAGCATGATCAGCACTACAGGTAAGATTCTTATCTTATCAGGACCTATCAGGCATAAGGCACCTTCAAATATTTCAAATTTTAGTAATACCCTCATCGACCTCTGGGCGTATCTAAGTCAGGGCACGGCTAACAAATAGATTGAACCCTGAAACCACATGTGGGCTGATCTAAGTCAGGGCACGGCTAACCAACAGATTGAACCCTAAAACAACCTCTGGGCTGATCTAAGTCAGSGCTAGCCTAACAAACAGATTGAAGCCTGAAACAGCCTCTGGGCTGATCTAAGTTAGGGCACGGCTAACCGGCAGATCGAGCCTGAAACAACGCTTAGGCTGATCTTAGTCAAGGCACGGCTAACTGAAGGATGGATTAGACTTTAGCGTTTTTGGCTTTGCGATGGGAGGAAAGGCGTAGTACCTGTAGAAAAACCCTCGAATCCAGGGATAGACTTCGACTGACACCAAGATCCCTGTGGTAACAGACGAGAATGATTCGTTCGCAGCCATGTTGGATAGTATCTGCTGTTCTGGTGGTTCGTAAGGAATTATTGGATGATGTCTGCTATAAGGTACTTGACAAAGGTATTCTTACAAGGAAATGCTTTTTTAGTCACAGAAGCAGATATCAGGGATGAAAACAACCTTCTTTATGTAGCTGTGACACGGGCTCAGAACAGACTAATACTCAACCAAACTATCGTGCGTGCCTTACAATTGAACAAGGTTTGTATTGTAATACTATCTAACTATTTCTTGTTTTTTGTTTTGTTTATTTGTATTTATCGTGTTGCTCCATACAAAATTATTGTCGGAATACAATCGGCGAACAAATACCTCGAGATCTGCTCACCACAGGAAGCCCAATCCCATTAAGAAGCAACTCAAAATAGCCGAAAACTGACACTTTCGGAGTGGAGACTGGGGCTAGTCGGATATAAATCGTAATTTCTCTACTCAAAAAAGAGAAAAAAGTGAAAATTGTTTTTGAACATGTTTTCTATTTAGTTTCCGAAAGAAACTCAATGCGCAGTGCAAAACAATTGAATTACCTTAAACTGATAGACAACAACATTGATAACGGGGAGTGGGAATTAAATATGGTATTTGGGAACAAATTTACACCCAAATTTTGCCAATATTTGCATGAGATTAGAATATTATTTGTCGGTTGTGTGTATTTACTTTTCTCATCGTCTTACGCACTTCTCCAATCTTGTGTGCAGGAACATCTTCTGCAGCCCGTTACAGGAGGGTCCTATGATGGGGTATGTTATGTCCACAGTCCTTGAAAATAGACCTCTTTATCTTAGGTGTTATGTTCTCCTAATTTTAGACCACGTGTCTTGTTATATACAACCGTTAAACAAAGAAATTATACTCAGGTGAAGAAAATGAGGGAAGACATTTCGCCCAAGCAAAGGAGGTTTAAACTGAGTGTTCTATGTCGGTTACTTACTGATAAAATTCCTTGACATAAAAGAGAACACTGATCTCGTCAACTGACTGCTACCAACGTGTTACCTTTCGTCACCTTTCCCAGTATATTAATGGTCTATGAAAGGTGTGCTACACGTGTGGAAGAGAATTCAAAACTTTGAACAACAACGACTTTCCTATAGATACCATACGATTATTGATTCAAACTTCCCTTTAATTTTGCAAAAGGGTTCAATTAGCTGCAAGTTCTGCTACAACCCAGTAATATTGGATCATGTGCCTTCTTTGCTGGTTGAACAACCTAAACACACGATCGTAAGTAATAGACATTCACCATTATAATAACCACATAAAATGTCAGTTCAGTCTAACTTAGAGAAATCAAGCATAGAGCACAACATTCCCATCTCCTCGAATCCCAGTCGCGCCCCATGGTGAGCTAAGTCGGTTGGTTCCTTCACTTCATCCAACCCTGAATAACTTCATCTCAGAGGGGCTAATACTTCTTCGTACCCTTGTCTAAAGCACACTGTATCACGTGTTTACGCGAGTAAAGGTTAAAGTTGAACACAGTAATTTATGATTATTTATATTATCATCTCGTTGTTTCAGTATAACAAGAACAACAGGGAAGAAAAGGGCCAGGGATTTGTATGTTGTTTGTGTGCACTTGAGAAAGTGCCTCATCTTTACTGCTTTCTTAATCCGCCTGTTGACTGAAGAAAACAAGAAGAACAAGAAGAAAAGTAAAAGAAGGAAGACTGAAAAGAAGTAGTGTTAGACTTCCCTTGGGGATATCACACAATAGACTTCTCTGTCCTCTCTACACATTCTCGGCAAAGCTAGAAAGCTACGTTTGCGACACCAGGACACTAGAGTAAATATTTGCGTATGCACTTTTTTCCTTTGCGCTTCAATACTTTCAGTTCGCAGACGGTGCGTTATCAGGGCGGCTACTTTTCATGGTTGTTTTATAGCGCAACACACACAAGTATTTTAAAAATATCTTCAGTGCAGGGGCTTAGCGCTACCAAACACACCTCTTTTGGTTAAACCAGCCAGTTTCGCATTGAAATACTGATACATTAAATGTTATACACTCAATTGAAGAATCGTTGTCGGGTTCAGAAACATAGAACATAGAAGCT